ACCACCAAAAAACCCTCAAAACCAACAAAAACACCAAACCAAAACAAAAACAACTCAGCTTCACCACAAGAACAAGTCTTGCCATTGCTCCTGGAGCTTCCCAGGAGGGTTATTTCCAAACAGTTCAGACCATTTGGATAAAAAAGACACGAAGGGCTGGAGGGGGCTTTATTTATGATCCCTTCTCCCTTCCTGAGTGCCACAGAGCACTGATCCCTTCTCCCTTCTCTCAGTGCTTGGGCTGCAGTGCTCCTCAGGAGTCTGGGATCCACACTTCTTATATTTTTTTCCCCTGAATCTCAGCAATATCTGCTTCCTGGGAGGTTGGAGGGATGGAGGGCAGTAGGAATGTCTYTGAGCCAGCCTGCCCACCCTGCACCCAGGGGCACAACGTGGTGACCCAACCCCGGCTTCACCCTCGAGGTCTCTTGTTGCAGCTSCCCTTGGGGTTTATTTGTTCAGGTAAATTGGAACATCTGGCCAAGAACCAGGCACTTCCTCAGCCCAGGGGGAGGAGGCCTCCAGGACAGCTCCAGAAGGGCACAAGAGGGCTGTGAAACGCCACGAGATCAATTCCAGGAGCAGCCACTGCCACCCATCATCCCTGCTCCGATGTATTTTCATTATAAATACACTTATAAATTCAATAACCACATTTCTCGATTCCTCTGGAATCCTTCCTTGTTTCCTTCTTCTTCCAAGGAAAACAGTAAGAAGACAGTGACACCAAATCTTTGAGATTTTTTGCTTCCCAGTCACCAGCTGGGGATAACAGCAACACCCAGCCCAGAGTTCTCACCCAGGAGCACAGGAACCATCTCCACTTGAGGAAAAGGAGCTCAGTGCCCCTTTCTGGTGCAGAACCACCACCTCCAGATCCCCCAAGGATGCTCCCAGTCCAAAGGATAACGCTTTAATGTTCCAGGGACAATGGGCTGTGTGTGGTACAACGGGGGCTGTACATCCTGTACATATTTACACGTGGGGTGCAGTTAAAGCTCGAGTATTTGAACAACACTGACGCTCCAAAAACCACAGCGAGACTCAGGGTGACAGAAACGGGAACAAAATCCAAGGCCACGAGCAGAGAGAGGTGTGTTTGARGGACTGCAGGTCACATGGAAATAAAGAACAGGGGTGGTGCAACGTGAACTTTATCCTGAATTGAGATAAGTGGTTAAAACGCAACTTTTTTGGKACCTCAGGAGCAAGACAGTGTTTTACAGAGATTTAATTTCCAAATTGAAGCGAGGAAAGAGACATAAATATACTGTTGTGTGCCCCTTTGGTCCTCAAAATCTCCTTCCAGTTGAGCTAAAAAGAGAGGTTTACTGCCAACGCCAGGCAAGAAAGATTTAAGGCTTTTCAGATGGATATTTGTGAAATTCTGAACTGAAAAATGGCAGTTTTGGGAAAACAAATGCTGTGGAGTTGGTGTGGGTTAGCAATGTGCAGCACAGCTTGTTTACACCAGTGACAAACACTGTCACAGCACCCAATCCTACAGAATCCAGGACTGATAATGTTATACATGTTTTTTCCAATAATTCTGTGAATGTCATCAAAGTGAAATTAGCATAATTAAACACATGGGCTTGCTCTCCTTGGGAAAGTCCTTCAGGCCCAGTCTGACCARACATGGTTTTCATTTTGTTTCCAACACGGGCTGGAGCAAGAGGGAGGAGGAATGTTGGAGAGATGGAKCTGGCCAGAGCAGGAACTGCCTTTGAGGTTGGTGTACAGGACATCTTGGATTGATATCCCACAAGAGASAGCCCTGGGAACCTGAGGGAACCCAACCCTCCTGCTGACATTTGTTGTGCAAGCTCGGTGTGAGCAGGGTGGTTTTCATTTGCGCCTCATCTTTTCCCAATTAAGAGTTACAAAACACCCATTAAAATGGGAACAAAGCACAAGTTCAGCCAAGTCCAGCYGGACTGAAACTTTTTGTACCAATTCTGCCACTGACAGARGTTGCCACATACRCAGAYAAAAATGTGGTTTGATTCATTYTGAAGGCCCTGGAAATGCTTTTYKCAGCTGCTCTTATGAAATGAGYTGTTGTCACTTCAGGTTATTCTGCCCCAAAATGACCCAACCTATCAGCAGAGAGGGGAAGCATCACGTGCTGTGCTCAGGATTTTGTGCTCACCTTTGGTCCAGCCCTGGAAATGGAAACCTTAGAATGCTCAGAAATCTTCATTTTCACAGYATCTGATTAATTTTAGCTTCTCAGTCTAACCCACGGAAATCCAAGAAGGAAAGCTCCAGATATAAATATCATTAAAAACCTCYCTGGATACCTCAGGACTTTGCAGCTGGACTCTGCAGGGTTTTTTTCCTCCCCTCTGTTAAAAGTTTCCTTAAAGACAGTAAGAAATGGACAGTTCAAGTGTTCAGACACTCTGAGGCACAGAGGAAAATGTCCACAAACCCCTTTGTACTCAGACAGGACTATGGTCCCAAATAATTCAGAATTCCCTGCCTGTTAAGAGGATAGGAAAAACAGAGTTTACACATTTCTCAAACAAACAAAAAWTACACAAAAAATGAAGGATAATACTAGCAAGGATATACAACACAGCAGAGGTAACATCTCAGAGGTGGAACACACATACCCAGGTACTCAAACAGCCACTGCAGGACTTGCAATAAAACAGAGCCAAATAATTCAGGACAATCCCAATCCTACAACGATTCACAGCCTTTCAGTTGTTTCCTGCGCTGCTCCACATTTATTCTAACAGACATGACTATTTCATAAATATCCATTTCACTCCCAAGCCCCCCTTCTCTCCTGCCAGTGGGATATTCTGCATTACGGGTGGAAAAACATTTCCCAACCCCTCCTTGTAGGCTGCAATCCTGCGACATCAGCGTCAGTGGAAATCCAGGAGGAGCCTCCCCCATCCCAGCCTTGCCACCAGAAGGCTTTCACTGCACAAAGACTACAACAACAATTCACAACGATTTCGTTTAGAGGCGGGATGTGGGAACAAGGACAGACAGCGACACGGGACAGAACAGCCCAGAGTGCATCCAGAGGGCAACACAGTTCAGCTCCTGATGAGCGTCAGGAATTCTTCGCGGGTCTTTGGATCCTCCCGGAACACCCCCAACATTGTGCTGGTGACAGTTTTACTGTTCATTTTCTGTACCCCACGCATGACCATGCACATGTGCCTAGGACAAATGAGAGGGCAGTCAATACACCAGGAACACTCATGGAAAAGGAGCGATCTGTAGGGAGAGATGGCTCTTACACGGCCACATTCCATCCTGGGAAGGTCACAAACCATYCCATCCAGAACGGGAATCGGCAGCATCTCAGCTGTGGGGGAGAGCCACAGCTCAGCCCCTGAGCACTGCCAACTCTTCTCTGAGCCCAGGGAAATCCCTCCTTCCCAAGGGTCATTCCGGTCACAGGGACATGCCTGCTGCTATTCCCGAGCTCTGCACTTCTCCAGGAGGCAGAAGGAGCMCTGGGACACCTGGGACAGCTCCTCGCGGCCGCATCACAACAGAGGATCAGGCAGTGCACACTTAAACGGCTCCAGCACACCCGGATTATTATTTTTTTATTACTACTACTAATACTTTAATATTAATAGGGTTCTTATTATTGTCGTTGTGTTGTTAATTATTACTCTCTGTGCCTGATAGCCAAGAACAGCACACAGCTATCACAGCCAAAAGGGAAGTACGCACCAGCCCTGCAGCACAGAGCAGGGATCCTATTCCTGGAACACCTGGGATCTCACTGAGCTGGGATTCCACCCCTGGAGCACTCAGGATCCCATCCCTGGAACAGCTGGGATCACATGGAGCTGGCATCCCACCCATGGGACACCTGGGATCCTACTGAGCTGGGATCCCACCCCTGGAACACCTGGGATCACACTGAGCTGGGATCTCACCCCTGGAACACTCAGGATCCCAATGGGCTGGGATTCCACCCCTGGAACACTCAGGATCCCATCCCTGGAACAGCTGGGATCACATGGAGCTGGGATCCCACCCACAGGACACCCAGGATCCCACTGAGCTGAGATCCCACCCCTGGAACACCTGGGATCACACTGAGCTGGGATCCCATCCCTGGAACATCTGGGATCACATTGAGCCAGGATCCCACCCACGGGACACCCGGGATCCCACTGACCTGGGATCCCACCCCTGGAACAACCAGGACCCCATTGAACAGGGATCCCACCATGGAACACCCAGGATCCCCCTGAGCTGGGATCCCACCATGGAACACCCAGGGTCCCCCTGAGCTGGGATCCCACCATGGAACAGCCGGGGTCACTCACGTGGCTTCCACGACGACGCCGACCCCGGCGGGCTGTAAGGCTTCTGTGATGGCGATTGCAATTTGTTTGGTAAGGCGCTCCTGGACTGAGGAACAACAGGGATGTCAGGATCCCAGAATCCCAGAATGGTTTGGGCTGAAGGGACTTAAAGCTCATCCAGTTCCAACCCCCMCACYAAGGGCAGGGACACCTTCCACTGGACCAGRTTGTTCCAAGCCCCATCCATCCTATCTTTCATTTGTATCCTGGAACAGATCCTTTATTTTCTTGTTTATATTTGGAGCCATTTTGCATTCCACCTCTCCAATTTGCTCCAACAGCTCCTCCATTTCCTATCTTACAGTTATATTTTTTTCATCTGTTTTCTTTGTTTTTTAATTTGTTTGTTCCCAGCTTTACTGCTGCATCATTTATTCCTCACACCCAATTTCTCTTCTTAAGGAACGGAAACGGAGATAAAAAATGAGATTTTTCCTGCAAAACTGGACTTCCTGTAGCCTGATGGTCTCTATTCATGTCTCCTGCACCCTCTATTCACCAGTCTGGTGGTCAAATGAGACTTCTGTCACCAAAAARAAGCCAAATTTAACTATGGGACAAAGGCAGCAGGCTCAGCCCAACCCAAGRCTTTGGACCCTGCAGGCTCCTCCCCTTCTCAGGGAAAGGAGGCAGCTCTTGCTTCATTGCCTCAGACAAGAATTCCTGGAGGAATCTCTCCAAATCTCTGCAGGASAGTTCATCCCCAGCAGCATCCATTAATCTTTGGGATCAGTGCCTCAATTCCTTCCTCCATTGACTTTCCTAGGCAGATGYCACCCTTCACTGGGAATGCAGGGGCTGAGTACAATAAACAGGTGAGAAAAACTTCTTCAAGAAGAGTACTTCTTCACTCTTAAACTCCACATCTACAGTTCACCCCCAGTTACCAGCCCCCGGCACTGGCTGGGAGAGGAATGCCCACAACAAACCCAAAATTTTGTGTTTACCTTGTAATCTTCTGCTGTATATCTCCACAATCCTAAAGGACAGAGGAAAAGGACAATATTAGTTATTTCCAGCTGGCTGATCTTCCCAATTAACTTGGTGCAATCAGGAGAGGCCACTGTGCTGGTCCCTRTCCTTCCTGGAAATCCTGGCCATGCTGGTTGCCCATTCCTCACAGACTGTCCTTGGGACATGGCTGTGTTTAGTGACAGATTTCCCCCACCTGCAGCCCCAGGGACTATTTTAAGGTAAATCTGTCCCTTCTCCCCTGGTCTCCTTCTGTTGGCTTGGAATTCCTTGTGTCCCCACCCACCTGCATGGCACAGCTGKGRGGGAATCCRTGCCCAAAGCCTCCCTAAACCCCARTCCCTGAGTTGGGGCTGGAATATCTCCTTGTACTTCAGACTAAACCAAATCTTGTCCTGAGGACCATTGGGATAATGGATTCCCAGAAGGATACAGAAATTGTGCAAGAAATGTTTTTGCTTCTTGCATTTAACTTAGCTGAGAACAATGAGACAGAATTGGTCTTATTAAAAACAGATTCTCTCCACTCCTACCTCACCCCATCCTTCACCTTTCAGCACAGGGATCACCTTAATGGTCCCCTCCAACACAGCTTCAAATTTCAGCCATTGCTGGGCGGTGGAAKTGACACTTATCGACAGTTCTAGAATCCACACACTTCAGAAAATCCATATAATTGCTCTGCAACTCCGGGGGCTGTTCCTGCCAACCTCAAATGCTTAATTACACTCCAAGTGGCCACAAAAAGGAGCTGCTGCAGGCTTTGGTACCTGTCTGGTCACACCAGACACGAGGCAGACGCTGCCTGGCAGCCTGAGGCATCACTTACAAGAACCATCCCCGACAATGAGACTCTCCTGCTGTTTTGGAGAGAGAATTAAATGGACAAACTTCCCTCCAGCAATGAAATGGTTGTGTTACAGCATAAAACAGAGCAGCACAATATTTAGATTAATTCTATGGGTGGGAAACACGCTCAGGAATTGCACAGAAGAAGTCCTAACGTGTTYTTGCAAAAAGAGCTATTTGAAAGARCGTTTTCAAGCCTGAGCTTAAAACCCAGAGAAARATGTTTGTTTACTGAATGCAGGTCATCCCCAACTACAGAAACTCACCACAACAAACTAATCCTATTATGAAAGATTAGGCCCAGARCACCAAGAGCCTCACAAATCTTTGCCTGAACACTGGGTGCATTATAGAGGGCACGAAAGGGAGCCATGGTTTGGCCCCTCTTCATGGCAAACATTCACAAGTGAGAATATTTTGTTATACAAGAATCAAATCTTTTCATTATTGCASTTTATGGGAGTTTTTAATGGGAGTTTTCTTGCTTTAAAAAGAGGCAAGATTCAACCTTTGGGCRCAGTGCAGGAAAACCTTGCACATTTTGATGCAGGTTTTCCTCCTGAGAACAAATAGTAGGGAAATTGTACATTTCTAGCACCATGTTGCCACTTGCCTAAAAAAAAAGAAAAAGTAACTGAAAACCATTTTGAGTTTCTTTTTACAACTGCAAACAAGAAATAAACAGAAACCAGAGCAAGCACAAACTGGTGGATGAATATTTCAAACGTGATCCTTAATCTGGCATTGGAGCCCTGCACAAATGAAAGCACGTCCTAAGGACAGACTCTTCAGGAAGGATGGATTCTCTTCAGAACTCCAACTCCAAAAAACAACAACAACAACCAAAATATCAAAACAAAACAAAACCCCTCAAAAAAAACCCTAAAAACCAAAATAAAAAAAGCCCCAAACAAACAAAAAAACAACCCTAACCCCCAAAAAAACACAAAAACCCAGCCCTGCACCACTTAAAGACCAACCCAACACACAACACAAGCCATGTGCTGCCCCACAGACACCCCAAACTTGAGCAGCTACAGGAGATGAAGTCTTTTGCTCAGCAGTTGCAKTTCAGACAGCTCAGAACCCCAGCCTGTAATTCCAGCTGCTCTGTACAGCCTCAGAAAGCATGCAGGAAAAAAAAAATTACAGCTTGGACAGCCTGTTTCAGCATTTTAATCAGAGAAAAGCTACTCCTAAAGGGCTGCTGAAGATGCCTCCCTGCACTCTGAGGTCACAGAGCAAAGTTGGGACCTCCAAGGATCCTTCCAGTCCCAAACCTGACTCCCTGTGGTGCAAATGGAGCACAGAATGGAGCTGGCTCACTTTAGAACATTTTGCTGTYGTGCCCTACACATTTCTTACCTGCTAAGAAAACCCAGCAGACAGATTAATTCTCATTAGTGTTATTGGAACTGCAGCAGGATTAACAGACCTGTCAGGGAGAGCAGAAGCAAAACCTATCTGGTGTTTCTAAGCCGCAGCCAAACTTCTAGTTTTGTTTCTCAAACTTCCACTCTGATCCCAAATAATCTGCTTATTGAAGGGATCTACCATCCTCTTCCTCACCAGCTCTGGAAAGTGTCACTTAAAAAAAAGAGTCAGTGCAGAACTGACCCAAGGGCACTTGCTGAGAAAAGAAAAGCTATTTTACATAACACATGGATTTCTCAAGTGTGTGACAATTGCTTTGTTTCTTAGGCTGAACCTTATCTATAAAATCTACCCCATGGRGCTCTCAGCGTGTCTTCAGCGGAAGAAAGAAATGCCAAATTTATCTGAAGAGTCAGCCAAGAGATGAAAGCTTTAGATTCAGTTTTTATCCATAAAATGTGCTCATTTACAGTTTGGAAGTTTCAGATTTCTGTTCTTTTTAGTCAATCTACATCCAAGTAGTAAACAGCTGTAAATTYTCAGTGGTTTTTGTGGCCTGCCTTAGAACATGACCAAAGTTGTTCTTTGCCTCAGAGCTCGCTGCAGACCCCAGGAACACACGAAAGCA